AAGCGGCACGTGTTCATTTGCCCCGGTTTTGCCAAATTACCGTTATTCGACAAATTTTGCCCAATATTGTATACTTATCTGACTAAATTCGATAAGTTTATTTTATTTAACTTGTATTGCGCGGGGTTCAACTAGTGATGATACAAAAGATAGGAAGATGGGATTCTGACACTTTTTACAAATACATCCGGGCACACCCGGCAATGATAGCCCATATTCTCATCAAGGCATACTATCAGTAACCAAATTGAATACGTACATGCAAATATAATAGGAACATACATAGCGACCAGACCTCATACAATTACTAAATTCTTGGAACAACTCGGTCTGCTCGCTATGTAAAGAAACATATATATAATAAAATAATACAATAAATAATAAAAGATAAAAAAAAAAAAAAGAAAAAGATCAAAGTCAATTAATGACAGAATCATAAAGTTTGGAAGACACGTGATTCCATCATTTCTTTACTTGCGGCCGGCTTGCTTCGGCAGGCAATTACGATTGCTTCTGTCGCGGGATGCCTCTGCCGTTCCAACCAACTCGGTCAATTGCTCGCTTTCTATCATGTATTCTGCTGACCTTAAATTCAATAAAATATCACCTCCGGCATAATTAGTCAGCCGACATAGTCCAAGCATTGAATATTGTGTAAAACGAATGCTTTTCGACTGTATAAATACAACTGAAAGTGATTGACCAATTAGAAGAAAGTTATCCCGAAATAATGATCTACATTCTTGTTATGACAACGATTTACGTACATCCATACCTAGTTACGACAGCATGGTTAAAAATCTATTTTATTGGTTGATCAAATTTAGAGTTGCATGTGATGTGAACCAATCAGAACGATTAATTAAATATATATTAGATATCTAAAAAGCCATATACTTAAGTTACAAGACACTACATAATAGGGCATATCAAAATTTTAGTTAGAGGTTCGTTGTAATGTCTACTTTAGTGATCCCGAAATAGTTTTTGCTGATCCTATTTTAGTTATGAATTTGCTTAGTAACGATATCAAGAGGAAACCGACGTCAGAATGAGGGACCTTGTGCTGTATGTGGTCTTCAAGGTTCTGAAGAAAAGTTTAGAAAACTAACCAAGCACCTACTGGCTAGAGTAAAAGAAAGTTCGGCCACTACCAATAAACTTCAGATTAACGATCAGCTATGTCAGCTCCATTATAATAACTATGTCATATATGATCGAGGGAAAAAAAAAAACCAAGGTATCAAAAAAAGGTGTTGACCTTTCTTATAAACCTGGAGGTGCTAATAATCGACCGAGAGTATGATCACAAGGCAAAACGATGAATATGAATGATTTAACTATAGCTAAAGTTGAAGGAGAGAAGAAATTAATTGAATCGGATAAGGAAGAAAGGATGGATTTTGATGAAGTCCCAGAAGATAGTGGTGATGAACCGCTTGATGATGTAATTTCTCTAATTGAAGATAATACCGAGAGTATTGGTAAGGCAAAGGTTAAGATAAATTGACGAATGAAGGAAATTAACTCAAATAACTGAAAAAAATGATGTATATATAGGCAATTATAATAGTAGAAGTGTTGTAATAAATGATCAACTTAGAAATTCAGAGACAATAGATAGTAATTAATTAATTAGCTATATATAATATTTTATTTAGGAAATTATTTTATTATTATTACGATTTTTAATTTTTAAAAATAAATTATTTAGTATCTGAAAAATTTTCAAAGCTTCTTGATATTCAGATCTTCTATCTTACTAAAGTATTATATGATCATCAATATGAGGAAATTCGCCTATTTTTGATGCACAAGAATTTATTAAAGTAATTGAGAGTCAAGAACCGAAATTAAAGGGATTGTTTAATGCATTCTTCTTAGCTATAAATCCTGAAGGAAAAAACCAACAAACTAAAGAGTTGACGTACAAAAAAGTTATACTACTTTGTTATCAGATGGCGTGTTACGAAATAAACAAATAAGTAATATAAAAACTAAAATTAGATTATTTATGTTATGGTCAGGGGCATCTGCACATTGTATAAATACTATGGCTAATATGAAAATATGTACAACTTACCAAACAGCTTTTAATAAGCTTGAGAAAATTGTTAAATCCCATAAAACAAATGTTCAAAAATATATTAGAAATCATATAAATAAAATTTAGATCCAAAATTTAAATTTGCTAAATTTATTATAATAGTAATATTTAATCAATTACTACTAAATTATAGTCGAATAATCTTATAGTTTGCTGTATTGATGATTACCATAACCTTCATAGAATACAAATACCTAGTGCAACATCAATACCTCAGATAGCACACATGGCAACTATATTGTTTAATACAGAAAAAACACCGCCGATTCTATTTTATTCTCAATCTGGATTTTTAGTTCACAATTCTAATAGCGTTGACTCTGTTCTTCTTAAGACTATTCTTTGGGAGCAATATATAATTTCATTTGCCAATAGTTATAATTTTGAAAAAATTAATTGGAAGTGGATTCATGATATAATATTTGCAAATGAATCTGAACTTATTGAATCACTAGTAGTATATTCTTATGACGCTAATATTTTTGAAAGATATAGGTGTCAGTTTGATCAAACAAAGCTTATTGACTTAATAGAATTAGATTTAAAAAATATGAACAATTACATTGAAGCTATTAAAACATTTATAGGGTTTGTAGATTTAATTAATTTTATAAAATTATTGTAACAATTAATTTAAAAAATTAATGATATGTATTTTAAAAAATTACCTAAAATACAGAAATATTTAAATAATCATATAATTCTTGTTCTAGCGGACTTTCTTGGACAACTGAATATAAGAAAAACTATCATTCACAAATTAGTATTTCACAATTTGGAGATTTCAAAAGAAATTACACATCTGATTCTATTTCTTGGTGCACTTCACTTATTATTAAATATACATGAATCAGGTTTTTTAGTATTTTGAAGTTTTTTGATCTTTTATACTGAACTATATTTAGTAAAAAATGAAAACTTGCTGCTAAGCCATGATCTTGGAGAATCAACCTTTTACTTTATCTAGCATATGCAGGCTGGCAAATAGTTAAAAAATATATAGTAATAAGGTTTGGGTTCTCAAAAGATATAGAATATAGAACATTTTTTGATTTATTGAATAATTTAGTACCAGTAACACTTGTATATATACTATTTTGTTTCGAGGTAATCATTTTGATGAATATATTAGTACTGTATTTAAACTATAGAGTGTTATGAAAAGATTAAATCAGCATAATTATGATAAGATATTACTTGCATTTATTTCAAACATTCATTACTGGAAGTTAATTAGACATTCTATAATAGACATTTTGAGAAGTCATTTAAATACATTTGACGAGTACCCAGTAGAAAATTTCCATAGCTTGCTTCAATATCACACAAATATTAAAGTTAATACAGCAAAATCTCTTAGATATAATGCTTTGTTTATAGATAATCTTCAACAAAATAATGATTTTATTGAATCATTTGTACCTAAACGCAATTATCCATATACAAAAAAAGACCTTGATGAGTTGGTTAAAGTTACAGCAATCTTTTTCTTAGATTTGTTCGAAAACATTTGAAAATATCAAGGCAAAATAGAAAAAAAAATTGAAGGAAAAATTATTAAAAAAGTTTATTGCTATTTTCCATATATCGAATATAAATTTTCATTAGATGCTTTACCACTAGGATATCATTTACAAACTATACCAAGTCAGCATAATTTTTGTGATCACATTAATTGTTTTGAAATAGCAAGTAATAGAATTAATATATTAATATATGGACATGTTTATCATGAAAGTGCTTTCAGCTACAAGGTCTACGATGTGAACATTGTTTTTTATATTTATCTAAAGCTATTGATGATTTAGCATATTCATATAATCAACGGTTATGCTCAATAGAAGATAAAAAAAATCAGATACTGATAATAATAATATTTTACTACCAGAAGATTGTGATTTGGATAAAGCTAAAATATTAAATTCAAAAATTGAAAACAATCGATTAAATGAAAGAATAGCAGGTATGCAAATTAAGTTTTATTAATCTTAATATAATTTAATTAAATACTTTTATATTATTTTAGCATTTGTAGAAAATTCTTCACATATTGGATCAATTAACTTGTTTGATATAAATAAGGTTTTTTATACTGCTCATAGTTCATTGTGCGATATTACAAATATTCTTTAATTTTTGTGCTTATTGTTGCTGAAAATTTTCAATTTTTGATTAGTTAATGTAATCTTCTGTATATAATAAAAAAAAAAAATACTTTATATTGCTTGCGACTTTAAAGACAAATTTAAATATTCAAATATATATTTGTTCTATAAAAAAATTTATTTTATCAAATATTTTCTATATAAAATTTCATTATTTCAAACTTTAGTAGTAGGTTATAAATGTTATACCAGTACGATCATATGAAATATGTGAGGGATGGTTCTGTTCAACTTTTTGAAGCCTATATTTTTCCTGGTTTGGAAATTTTCCCAGTTTGGAAATATTATAATTACGTGCGCACAAGTTTTTTTCTATTTAGGGTA